AAAAAAACTGTGGTCTCCCTGCTCACTATACCACTGTTAACCAGATGCAATATTTTGACTTGTCTATTGCATAGAACAGTTTAGGAAATAACTTTGATAATAGCCTCTTTACACTGGTACAAGTGAATGTTACAGGCTTGAATCACAACTGTACAACTAATGCTAAAGAGCAACCAGCCTTTAAATAAATGGATACTTGATGAAAGAAAGACCAAAGTCACAGGAGACCTATGGCAGAGAAAAGGCAGAGGTGTATTCCTCCCTACCCAGTCACTGTGACTGATGTATCTGCCTGCTTGATGTCATCTTCAGTCAAGACAGAAATTGGTTTAGTGGACACAGCAGAGTTTAGGAAAAAAAAAAAGTCAACTCACCCAGGACTCGTGGTAAAGGACAGTTAGCAGGTACATGGCATAGTCATAATTCTGCTGTCTCAAAGGGCAGCTGGTAGAAGAAGGAAGGACAAAAGTTCATTTGTTTCATTTCCTCACTTTATTATTAGATATTTTGATTCCTAAAGCCACATTTCCACTCCATGGTTTGGCTCGGCTCCACTCGCTTTTGGTACCTCTTCTTTGTTTGCCACTGTAGACAGTACTTCCTCACATAGGCGAAGCTGATCGCAGTTGGGAAACAACACACGGGACCTTTACTTTAGTGTTGACAACCTTCCACCTTTATTCAAATTGTAACCTACACTGTACATTTACCGCCAGATTATCTACACTACTCCCCTTCTCCTCTTCACCGCTCGCGTCGCTCTAACTACGCATACACAAAAGACGCTGCTACTCCTAGAACAGGGACTGTAGCCTGGCTATTAGTGCTATGCAGTGTTTTCATGTCACCTTTTATTATCAGCTCGCTTGAGACCTTGACCGAGGTGGTACCAAAAAAAGAGTTGAGTCGAGCTGGAGGAAATGCGGCTTAAGGAAGGAGTGTTTACCGGTCAGCTGTGATGGTGAGGATATCAGTATCTTTGCAGTATCTGTCCCCAACAAGTTTGAGCATTTTCTTGCGTGCTTGATCATTTAGATTCAAACTGGACAGCTTTACCTGCAATGGCAGAGACACAATTAGATTAAAACAAGAGAAACATAATAATTTAGGTACTAGTTTTTTACACCCAGCATTGTGATGCAAAGAGAAATACACAAAGACAAGAAGATTAGGGCAGATGTGTTTTCATTATGTACTATAACTCCTGTCTGAATGACTTATCGCTTGAGATAAAATAAAACCACAACCCAAACTAACGACAATGTTTTTTTTTTTTTTAAACCTATACAGAGCTTTGACTGTGTTGATTAAAATACTATACTTTTTACAGATGAAATCATGGCCTTCATGCTGTGCCCCAGAATAACCTCTAAGCCCCTGCACAATGGATAGATGGAAAACAGAGATTATTCCTTGATTACATTGTTTTTCATGTCTCTGATTTATATCATTTGTACAGTGCAACAAAAATGCATTCACAAGTAACACGAGGTACATGTAAACATGCTTTCTGTGTACTAAACCTAATGCACTGACAACACAAAGGTCACTTTGGGGCTAGACAGATGTGTCCAGAGACAGTGAAGTGGTTAAGATAATGTCTGGACTGGATCAAGCCTAACCCTGTCGCAGATTTTGTTTACAAGATTTTTCTCAGTCTCCGTCAGTCTCTCTCACTACTTTGACCCTGTCTAAATAAACAACAAAATAACTAAAAGGCCACCCTACGCCATACGTTCATCAGTCACAGATTGGATTCATTTTAAAAAAAAACTGAAAATGGGGTGCACTGGCTCTGGACTCGGAAACTAACTGTATGAGATTTGCTCTCCAATCTATCTCTCTGCCTAATCCACCTGGATTAATGTCTGAATAATTCATTCATTCCATGATATAATCTAAGGCAAAGTGTTAGTGGAGCAGATGGCTGGCGATTAATGGTAAAGATGACACATTTCCATCTTGGAAAATCTGACAATTTTTGTCAAAGGCAGTGTAATAAGGCAAGATTTATTTTTAAATGTTTGTGTAAACACAAAGCCTCATCCAAGAAACAAAATAAACACACCTTCACACGGAAGTTATGGGATTGTAAAAACTACAAAATATTAGGCAGATTAAAGCAAAGCAGCTGTTTGTTGTTTAAGGCCCATGTGGCAAATCTGTTGTATTTAATAGACCAATTTTATCTTGTATTTTATAACTTTTTCTAATTTCTTAAACAGAACCTTAATGTGAATCTTCTTTTTCACAGATTGTGGTCATTACTTGTTTACATGTATTGTTGTGGTCTGTGAAGAGGATTGCATATTAATGGATTAGTGTTAAAGGGGATTAAGAGGAATATCAAAACACCCCCCAAAAAAATCTACTGATGAAAAGTAAAGAAGATACAAAATAAAAAACACATTTCCAAAAAAAAAAAAACTGAGAACTTAAACTAACACAAGAACTATAACAGCTTGAGCACATGCTTAAATGTAAACTAATTCCCGAGACTGTAATCTCCCTGTAGCTGTGAGGGGATCATTCCTTGGGTTTGAGGTCACTGGACAATGAACGTCCCTCTTCAGAAGTCACAGGGATGTCAGCTGGTGATTTACGCATCCCTGTAAATCTCTAATCTCATTTTACATGTCGGGTTTCTCCACACTTCACTTTCTATACCTAGTTTAAGCAAAGATCATCAGGTAGAACAGGTCAAAACCTTTTTATAGAAACATTAAAGAGCAGGGAAACTCACGCTGAGATGAACAATGCGAGCTGCAGGGTTTCTGATCGATGGGCCGGCAGACACGTAGCTTTTGGTTTCTACTTTGATGGGGAAGTGCTCGTCACATTTGGCATCAGTGTCCAAGGCAGAGGGCCACTCTGTACAGAATGCTGACAGCAGATAAAGACAGTTTTACATACGCTAAATAAGCCTACATATTTCTGCTGAACAATGCCACAAGTACACAAAGAAATGATTACGTTTCAGAGCTTCACAGTGTTTCCTGATGGCTGCCGGTGTCAAATGCAGAAAATTTGGTATCTGGAAAAAAGAATATGAGCGAGAGATTGTGTGAATGTTCAAATGCACAACTGTTCTCGTAACAAACACGTGTCCAGCAGTCTTAAAGCCTACATCCCAGAAAGTGTAAAGAAAAACTCACACAATCACAGACAAAAACGCTGTAATTCTAGCAGGGTGTACAATTTTGAGGCATCTAGCAGTGAAGTTCAACAACTGTATCCCGCTCGTCTTCCAAGCGTGTAGGAGAAACTACGGTGGCCAAAACTTGCAAAAGGCCATATCTAGAGCCAGTGTTTGGTTTGTTTGTTCTGGGCTACTGTAGAAACACGGTAGACCTGCTCCCTCTGTAGATAAGAACAGCTCATTCTAAGGTAACGAAAACACATCGATTCTTATTTTCAGCTGATTATACACTAATGAAAACATACCTCTCGATATTATATTCCGTTCTGCTAATATAATAATCTTCCAAAATTTTACACACTGGACCTTTACAGGGAATGGTAAACAAGTGGAAAACAAATCTATCCTCTTCCTCCTTCAAGTAAATTATATTATATAATACATATAATACCTCAAAATAAAATTCTCATTGGTCACATTATTGGCTTGGGCTTGTACAAAAGCACAGAATCTATGACTATTGATTAAAAAAGCAAAACATTCAAGCATCAAACATAAGTAAGGGATGCATAGCCGTTTAGCCCCTCATGGCTGAGACGGACAGAATGAAATCAGAATCATTCGGTTGCACGGCAGAGCTCCAGCTGTGATGGGTGAAAGTAGTGGATCTGCAAGTGGCTCCAGTCCAGATGGAGCAGCTGGTGTCTGGACACAGCAGCACAGTAATCCGGGAACAGACACAGAGCCATCAAAGCCACGCAGCAGAGCAATAAGAGCTCCATCGCCACTGCAAGAGCACTGGCCGGCTACAATTAACTGCACAACAACTGGTCGTAATCAATACTGGGAGGTAAATGTTCAGATATACAGAGAAGATGCACAAAGATATAACACATATTCAACTGTGTGTGGCTTTTCTTCCTTCATTTCTGCCAGCACCCTCGCGTGTTAAGACTTTATACTCATGCTGTGTGTAAGTCATGAGGTCTGACCTTGATCAGCTCCAAGTTGCCCTTCTTCTCTGGAGGAACGCCTCCCTTCACAGGGCAGCCCATCCTCACAGGTAGGGGGATGGCGTCTGGTATGAAGGGGGTTGCTACTGGATAAACTGCAGTCCAATCCTGATCCAGTGGCATCCGCTCTGTCCTGGGATCCCCTATCTGATGCAAAACACAGAAGACAAAAGAAACGAGGGAGAAAATCCATGACGACTCTCATCATTACTGAAATATTTGCATCTTGTTAAATTCAGCCTTGGAGAACAGACAAGCTGCACACTTACCTCTCTCTTGAATTTTTTGGAAAAGGCTTTTTTACCGCCTCTCTGAGGGGAACCTAAAATTGATCATATTTCAAGTTCAGCCACACAAGCATCAACTTTGTTAATGTGAAAATGTCTAATATAAATACGGTAGCATTTCTTTACATACTGCTAACACTGTTATCTGCACAAGACACTTTAACTACTACACAAATCCCATTTCTCAAGTGCAATTTCTGTTTTTACTTACTTACTATTTTCAATTAAATACACTAGATACATAATACTACAATACAATACTAAATACAATAGACACATAGATACCATGTATATATGCTGTAAATAACAGGTGTATGTATATATATATATATATATATATACTGTATAATATATATTGTACCTGTTTTATTTTTCATACTTCTTGCTATTCTGTATAGTTAATTAGATGAAAAACATTTATGTTGTTGTTGTACAGAAAAATAATAGGCAATTTTTTGTTCCTTCATTTTTCAGGTACACGTCAAACACTCGCTAAGCCCAGATATGTATTATTCAGACCTCTTTTTGCCTGATATGGTAGTAAATTGAATATATTTGGGGTTTGAGGAGTCAGACAAAACAAGCAATTTGATGGCATCAACTTGGGCTTTAGAAAAAACACTTTTTACTATTGACATTTAACATTTTTCTACATGCAGATTCACGCACCATCTCATCTTCTATTACCTCATTTAAGTTCCCAGTGGGTGCTTATGGTGGGAGCTACAGTTACAACCTTGTTCCTGCATTAAAACAGTGACTCATCCGTCAACTTCAGACGCTCTAGCTGCTCTATCTCTCTCTGTATATTGCTGTCAGAGGACAGGAGGTTCCCTCACTGGCCTTGGGTTAGCTCAGCGTGCAGCGCTGGTTCCGAGTCAGCGACAGTGAAACTCACCTGTAGTCGCATTAGAAGAATCTATAGACAACCCGGTCGCGTATGTGACCCTGCTCACGGGTTTATGAAGTCCGAGACCAGGAACATTTATTCGACCTAGAGACAGGAATGCTCTGCTTGTGTGTGCAGCCATGTTTTCACCCACAGTGACTATGGAAACCAGCGAGGGACAAACCATGAAAACTGCGAAGCGTTTAAATGAGCCCGCTGTCAGTGTTTTAGCGCCTCCTGCAGGTGAACACAGGTGTGGCACCACAGCTCAACATGAACTTTGGAGGTGTTAAACTTTTACAAACAAGCTTTCAAATATATTTCGGTTAAAAATACGACAACAACCCGTCTCCCTGTGTATGTATTTTACACTAGTGCATTATCTGTAAGCGCCCGACCCGTCCACGTGCGTCCAGCGGTTGCCCTTCACCAGCTGCTGCTTTTTCAAACGTGCTGTGTTTACGTGCCTCCGTAAACTCATGCTTCCGTGATGGCGACCAGTAAAGATGCTACACTGTATGAAAACACAACCACACTAATTTAAGAGAGAGTGGGACATGAGCATGGTCGTGGTTTCGGTGGGAACCAGTTTGAACACACTTAAAATGTGTAAGTGTGTGCTGTTTTTATACAGACAGTGTGTTCAGCAGCATGAAGCGTTCACTTTCGCTCAAGTGGAGGGAGTATTAGTATATGTAAATATACAGAGGGATAAAATGGGATTAACTGGACCTGGTGTAAAAGGAGAAGAGCCTGCATGTGGGTGTAGAAGTGCAAACAAGTTTGTCTTATATTTTGTACCGTAGTCAGCTCAAGCAGGTCAGTTGTAGATTCAGATGGGGTTAGAACTTTATGATTTTGTGCACACTCTTTAGACAATAGTAAGTTTTTTGCTCTTTTAGTGGAAAGCTACATGTTTATTTCACAGGGTTTATGCTGTTTCATTACACAGGAACTGTATTTCCCAGTTTAATCTTAACTGAAAAAAAACAATCCTACTGTGCACGCCCGGATTATCTTGTTAGGGGGCCAGGGGCAAAAAAAAGCCCCAGGAGTTCTGTGTATCAATGACTGGGAGGTAATTTGATTAAACCTCAACTTTATTTAGGATTATAGACCCTGAGGGCTCAATATAAAGTAAAGTGAAGGTGGTCATAATTTTGACAGCAAGGCCACAATATCATTCAATAATGCAGGACCCACTTTGTTTGATAGTGTAGTATCTAACAAGGTATTGTAACATCAGTATTGCGAGTTCCTATAAAAGGTTGCAGTTATTTAAATTATGCTAATTATGCTTTACTGTGTGCAGCTAACACACAAGGAAATCTGGGGCTTTTGGGGCCCCTGGAAGTCTAGGTTCCCAGTGCAATTGCTCGTGTTGCATGGTTGGTCATCCAGCCTGGCCAGTGATGCATGACTGGGCCTAAATGTATGAAAATAATAATAACAGAATGGCCTGATATTTTATTTTGGAAATCAAGTGACATCAAGCTAATGTGTATTAACAGTGATAATGAAGTGTAATTAATGTTTATTTTTATTTTACCACAATTTTACCATTATCATCACCAAATGTTGGAAATGATTTCACTATAAATGACAATAATGAACAACATGGTAATCAATTTGCCAAATGAACACCCAGGTTTTCAGGTAAGTAACAATAAACATAGACAGAAGTTGTTTGTTTAGAAGAAAACTCCATAGGGTATCTTGAAGTCATACATGCTTTTTTTGGAGCTTGTTTTTGTTTGGTTTGTGGACTGTTTGATTGACAGAAAAGTAATTAGAAAGCATCCTTAAATTCTGAAATTTTAGAGACTATTTGACTAAATAGTATTAGTCAGATAGTAATAATTTAGTAATAGTAATAGTTTTTAATATTTAAAAAAACGGAGATGAATTGGTATTCATTTACGTACATACGTCATTTCGCATCTTGGCTACTTGGTAGCAAATAGAGGGTTGCCATGGAGGGTACCACTTTGTTGTTCGCTAATATCCCGTAACCCGTGAACGCAGCACTTGCCCAGGCACAAACTGCGATGCACTTCAAAGGGACAAGTCCTGCAGGCAGCAGCCGATTCAAGGCTTGTGCCCTCACTGTATTTACGATGTCAGGGTTTGTTTTATAGCGATGGAAGATACGTTTTAACTTACTTCATTTAGTTATTTTACGACCGGTTCTAGTTTTCATTGAAAAAAACAAAAACAAAAAAACGCTAAACAAAAGCAAAAAATAAATAAAATAAAATAAAACTTGTTGCCTGGCTTCTGGGATAATAACACATCATTTACCACCGATTGCAACTTGAGGTATGTTTCTGGAGTAAAAGGTAAGAACTGACACACTGGTTTGACATGTCGTTTTGCTGTTTAATTCTTGAAGGGCTCAGCTACGACCAGTAGCTTGTAGCATTCATTGATGTAAATATTGACTTAACATTTGCTTGATTATGCAGCTTCATTAGACAAACCACCAGACCTGCGCTGTTTTCTGACCGCTCTCACGAGGTTAGTTAAGCAGATGACATTAGCAAAAAAAAGAAAGAAAAAAAAAGTAACATCAACATCAGCTGTCATTTAATTTGTGGCGGAAAGTCACACACACACAATGCTCTGTAACTGAGTCCCACAGCAGCCTTTGCATGTCTTGACAGTTCATTGTCTATCTCATGACTATGTAGTTTTAAAGGTAGAAACTCTATCTACAGGGAGAAAGCAGCACATGTGGCTCTTGTCATCACTTCAACTATAGTTGAGGACAGATATGGACGGGGGTGGCTGCCTCCAATTAGCCTACCTCTCTTGTCCCATGAGACTTTTTCCGATCCTTTTAGTCAACATCCGTCCATCTATCACACTACCTGGTTCAGTGTCTTTCCAAGAGAAGATACCGAACCACCTACGTTGATCCACTAATGAATTGTACATAAGTCAGCCAGGAGCAGACTTGACTTGGGAGATGGAAAGTGTTTTTGTCAAGTTGTCATGCTGTCCAGACTTAGTTACAGGTTCATATCCATTTGCATAAAGACCTGTAATAGACACAGTATGGAGGATGTGTTCCTGGTGTGCAGCTCTCTTTGCACATTTCACACAGCAAACTACTTACCTGGGCTCGCACTATTTAGTTCACTTCATTATACCTATTTTGAAAGGCAAGTAGTTGATGTTTTGATAGTTTGTGCTCACTTGAATTAATGTGTATTCTTAAATAATGTTTTAGTTTGATCTGACTGTGACTGTAAGGGGGAAAAAAAATCACATGGCTGCAACCATCCACGGCTTTAATCAGTCTAATTTTCATCAGCTTGCACATTGACTAAGCTTCTAGTGATGTGACATTTGTGTTAGAGGAGGTCACATTTTAGCTATAGTGTCTTAAAAGTGTTGTAGGCTGGTAAACACACTGGATTATATATATTTTTAACCATTTGCAAAAAAATCATAGAAATGTCACTATGATTTCTTACTCACAATCCCCTCTCTTTTCCTTCTCTTTTTAACTTCATAAACATGGCGCTATATGCAAGAACTGTTGAGAAGCTGATCTGCATCATCAGTGGCAGTGGCCCTAAGCACAGTAGGTCTCTGATCTACGTATGGCTCCTGTTCAAAAGTAACATGCTGAAGGGAAAGACCTTTAGTATTTGCCAAATGTTTTTCGAGTAGAAATATTTTCCTGCTGTGCTTGAATGCCATGTGTAGCAGCCACTGTAGCAGATTATATAGTTGCCACACATCTTTAACAATTTTTTTAAACATCATCATCAGACTAAGCTTTGCAGTGTCCATGTCTTGTATTTTTCATGACAGATGCTAAAATAACAAAGTCCTAGTATAGGGCAAGGGTTACTTTCAGTCATATTATCTCCATGACTCATGTCACTTCTTCCACTGCAGGTATGGACACACATGCGATACAGCAGCGAGAGCTCCTGTCTGCAGCGGGTAGCTAGCCAGCTCTAGCTAGCGCTTCCACCTGAACCTTGGTCATAACCTACAGGACATTACAGGACTCTTAATTCCCCCTTGGCCCTCTCTGAACTGGACCATCCTGCAGGGCGACATGGGGGAAAGACGGACACAGTCCTTCAACACGACGTGCCACGTGCAACGTGAATATGGCAGCAGGATGAGGAGCTGTTTCATAAGTTACAGGCCCAACGGCTATGCCAGCACAAGCCTCAGCCTGGCCCAGGAGATGGTTGCTGACCCTGAAGCCTCCGGAACTACAACTTCTAGCTCTGCCCTTGCTCCTGAACCTGACAGAAGCCACTACTCTCCTGTTTCACTGGAACAGGACCCCACAGCGGTGAATAATGGATCAGGCATTCCCTGCTGTCCGCCAGCAGACACAAAGGACCGAGCTCTGCAGACCATACACAGTCAGCCGTCTATTACCTCTGTCCCACCACCTGTCCCTCCACCTCTCCCTCGTTCGAGCTGGCTGCATCATCAAAAGGATTTCCACAGCCCTTACATCAAGACTAGCATGCAAGGGGATGTTTACAACTTCCTAGAGAGACCTGCTGGACTAAAATGCTTCCTCTACCATTTCCTTGTGTGAGTACCTGTTTGGTTCTGTGTATACTGATTTTAATACAACCATGGTAAGGTTGTACAAAAACTTTGATGTCAGCGCTAAAAGCTGTTTAAAATTCAGTAAACAGTGTAGCTGAGAGTCTGACTTTGGCCACACAAGTCTGGGCGATGTCCCTTTGTTAGCTCCAGTCCCTCTCCCGTTAATTACATCTAGTGCTGCTCCTTCCAGTATTAGGCTCTGGTTCCCAGTAACAAAAGGAGAGGTGTCTGTGGCCTGCTGGCTGTCTGCGGTTGTTAACCCAACAGAAGCAGGTCAGTGTGATCTGGTGAACCACACCACTGGCACTGTTGAGCTTGATCTATTCAGCTTTTCCTTACAGTAAACAAATCAGCAACCTCATGCATGAAACATGGAGCTTCCTTCTTGATCCTGCTAACCAAGGAGCACACTGACCTACAGTTAAACATAGCTTACATGAATCATTTTATTAACTGCCCCTTAGGAACGCTGTCTCTCCTTTGTTGGTGTTATTATGCTTGGACTGTGATTGGAGTGTTTTTTATCACGATAAGTTTACTAATTCCAGAGTATGTATGCAATGAATAAAATGATGACGAAAAGATACATTTTAATTAACGGGGGAAAACAATTCTCAGTGCACTGTAGCAGTTAGATTATGTAGTTAATGTTGTGTCTTTATTATGCAATTAAACAGAAAACGTTGTAGACTTAAAACTTACTTTTTAAAGTAAAATAGATTTGTGATTAAAAATGTATTAATGCCAATCAAACAGTTGACTCGATTGGAGTGGAAAGTCAGAAACATCCACTGTTAGTAAACACGAGAGGGAGTTTTGAAGTGATGAATATAGTCCACAGAGAAGACCCACACACAAAACGTCTGTATTAGTGATAGCAACAGCTTTATGGTGCGTGTAGATTGCTTTTGTAGGATACATATTATTTTGTCTGCCTGATAAAAGAACACAGAACATCACATATATAACATAACCTAATGTGTTAACTATGTGTGTTCAAGGCTAAGGCTAGTTAGATGGTGCAGCACAATATGAAGTAATGCATTTTTAATCACAAATTTCTTGTACTTACAATAACATTAATTTCTGATTGCAGTGTCCAAAGGTTTGCTCTCAAATCTCTTCTGTTTGATGTCACAATAAAGAAACAATAACAAATGAAAATAAAACTCTTAGAAATCAATATCATGGCCAAGAATACCCCCATGACATGTGATTAAATGATCTTCTATGATCTCTGAAGTATCCTGCAGTTTAGTTCCAGACGTCATAGTAAGCTCTGAGCCCATGGATTTAGACCAGATTAGATGAAAATATGAATGATAATAATAGAAGTTCAATTGAAATGCCTCTACTGAAGTCTTTGAAAACACAAAGTTCTGTGTATTATCGCATTACTTTGCTGTACTGCACCCCTGTTCCACAGTGCACTATATTTTACTGTTCCATTTCCTTATGGTTTTGTGTAGTTTGGATACAGTAAAAGCACACTAATACAGCATCCTGATCTGTCTGTTACTAACTCACTTTGAAAGAGTGTTAGGAGGATTAGTTGCTGCTGCTGCTGCCATAGTTACACATGCATCTTGAACTGGATCATTTATTGGCTGAAAAGCACCCCTGTACCTTACATATACCATGTTGTGTCTAAGTAGACCTGGGCCCAGGTCAGGTAAACCAGAACACAGTGCATAAAAGAAACAAAAACTTAAAACTTAATTTTAAAGATGTGTTCTATATAGTAATGTTTGCCAGTAAGCTTTAAATTTGCAACTTTTTGCAAGAGCACAACTTTGACTGTGAGATCCTTTTACACCATGTTTGCATTTTTTATAGAGAAACACATCCATTGCGGTAAAAAAAAACAACTCAGCTACTTCAACAAATGCAGTACATTTAAACCGTCACTGAAATGCTGTTAAAACACATTCAGACCATACACAGCTTTTAAAAAAAAAAACTCATTTTCAAACTCTGCAGCTGCACCACCATCCTGCTTACTCAAAAACATTTACATATAATCTCCAGAATTGTAAGAATCATGTTCCATCAGTGCTGCCAATCACACCATGAATGATAGTTATATATTAGTTTCATATCTGTTTCAAGAAAACGGTCATTTTAGATATTCTTGAGTGACAATCAAATATCCGACCACGCCTTCCATTCTGACAGTAAACCTCCGGTAATTAATGAGCTTTGAGATACTCTTTGATGCGGACTGAATCAATGAGGAAATAAAACAGCGCGTCTGGCTTTCTCAGAGGATGGAGACAGAGAGAATCTCACGTTTACAGAGTCAGTTACTATGGTTTTTTTGTCCCAAGTTTCCCTCATCTCAGAGTTTTCACTAAACCCGCTTTCTGGAGTACACCCCAGAAAGGCGTTTACCATAATGCGTTCGCCTGTTGCTGTCGCAGTGTTTTAGAGTGGTGTTTGTCTGCGGAATTGGGCAGCATGAGAGCGTGACACTGAAAGTGATTTGTGGTGCGTTCAAGCACAATAAATCCTTTCACCAACAAGCTTTAGAAACAGATTTCCTCCTTATAAAAAACATTGAATAGATTTTCAAAATCCCCCATTTCCACCACTGCAAACACAGAATCACACTTTTGTGGCCATGACTCAGAAGTTAGGCAGCTCTGGACTAGAATAACCAGGAGTGTTTGGCCTGCTATGAAACTTATGGCAACAATCTCTAAGACTTCTCTAAGAGAGTTCACGTTCCTCCCAAATCATCCATTATCCAAACACATTTATCCCCCTCTACAGCGCTGTAGCTCACTTGCCTTCAAATTACCTAATCATTTAAACATAGTCTAGACCTAATGTTTAGTGATTAAAAATAGCATGAATGCCTACCACTTTTCACCTCTGTCTGTGTGAAATTGTGCTTGAAGAGAAGCAGAATTTATCTGTCAGTCAAAGATGAATGGAAACAATGCTGAGTTCTCCGTTGTACTGTATGTATGGTTGTTCTGTGTCCTTTGCTTCCCACTGCTGATAATCAGTCCCAGCAGTAATTGAGGCTCTAACAGAGGAGAGAGAACCCGAGCCTGTCCTTCATTTAATATTAAACCCTTTTGACTGATCCCTGTTGACACTCCTTTAAGTAACTCTTACTTGTCGATGGCTGTCACTGGTGGCCATCTATTCTCCTGGCCTCTTTAGAGATTGGCAGGAGAGGAGGGAGGCATAAAGGGCTGTATGGAGCACTCATGACAGCCTTAATAGGTCTTCTCTAATAGGCCTGCTCATTAGGATGACACACACGCATACAACACACACACACACACACACACACACACACACACACACACACACACACACACACACACACACACAACACACACACACACACACACACACAGAGAAGTGGTTGCTCAATTCATTACTGCCTTTATCATGCTGAAGCCACAATCAGCAACATTTTCACAACTGCCAGCGGTTCAGCACAAACAAACACAGTATGTTTGCATGCAGGCATGCATCTACCAAAACACACAAATGTGCAGATAAGTTTGGATTTCACAATACAATTAAGGGAAATACTCAAACATATTGGCTCACACAGGCTTATATGTCAGATAACACTCCATCTGGTTTCAGAACATCATTCCAATCAACAGTTAGTGTAGTGGGATAACACACAGATTTATGAGTATTACTGGGAAATTTGACACAAATTAATGGTTGTACAACATACATGTGCATTGAATTTGTGTGTTTTGATGTGCATACATTCTTTAACTAAGTCTTCTGCAACAGTGGATGGATTTGATGGATCAGATATTTTTCTGAAAGCTGGTATAGATCCAGATGATTTTAGATGAAGGTTGCTAACAGCCGAAATGTTGTACTACTATTCACTAATTATGGGGAAAAAATTGAAGTAGTAAGTAGGCTATTATTCATTTTGTCATTCTCATTTGAAAAACCTAAACAGATTATTTCATGTGGATTTACATTAACTTTGGCACAGTGAGAACAAATGTCTGGCATAGGGTAAATATTTAGCATCTATTATTTAATTTTTCCTATTTTGCTGTTTAAACCTAGTTACCCCACCTTACCAAAATCATCATACTCATTTAATGAAAAATTCATTGGATAAAACTAATTAAAAAATAAATAATTTAATGAAATGTAATGAAACAAAAGTAGTTTCAGTTACAGACTTTATCGTCAGGGAGGATTCTCTCTCCTCCTGATGATGGAAAACAATGAATTGTTAATATAAACAAAACAAATTTATAATATATTAGATGTCACATTTATCCAACCCAGGAGGGGACAGACAGAAACCTGCCACACTAGTGACGACAGAGTTAGTCAGAATGGGTAGAAATCCCTTGGACTCGGGACAGCATACGAAAAGAGTGTCCAGAAAGAGTCTTATGCAATTGCATGCAGACTCACCAGCACACAGACAAACCTGAGGCAATGATCCCCTTCACGTTTGGGCCACTCCCTCTGAGTCTTTTACATAACCAAAGGGAATGAACATGTATGTCCTCATGAATCCCAAATGCCCTTCTCATACTGCAAGCAGATTACAGCCATACCTCTTGGTCCTTTTATCCACATAATCAGTTCAGTTTCTTACAGCGGGTTGTAGACGTCAACACACAGATTCATTTGAGACAAAAATGTTTGAGCTGCAACAGTAGAAGAAAGAAAACATTTTAGAGATTATTAAAAACAGTCCTTAATGCTTTCATGTACAGTGTTTGTAATCAAAATGTCATTATCTGATAAAGGTAATCTTTACTGTAACATCACTGTAACGCAACCAGTTTGCAGTGGAGGAAGCACCTGTTTATCCTCGTGAAAATGCACGGGGCCAGATGTTGTCTGGAATCCTTGGTTATGTCGTGTGTTTTTATATCTGGACAGATTATTGAAATGGCTATATTGAATCCCCTCCATCTATGTGGAAAGGCCAGAAAGGAAACCTCCTGTTGGATATCTGCTTACAAGAT